CAATTCTGATTTTAATAAAGTCAAGACAGAGAAATAATAAAAATTAGCGTGTTGTTCAAACAAGAAAACAGAAAGAAGGAAATAAATTAATTTGTCATGACAAAATAGCACAACATACTTTGTGTAATAAATCTTGTCGGGTTTATTATAGCTTTAAAGGATTTTTTCTCTCTCACTTTTTAACATTGCGTTATTTATGGGCGTAAATTAATAATGACGGGGTGGAGGGGGGTATGAAAATAAACTCCGGGAGTTATTAAAAGCGTAGAACCGGTCGGACATTTTCAAAAGCTGATATAAATAAATATCATTGGCATAATACAGTCTACAATGATTTTAGACGAGACCCAACCGTTTATCTTTCAAAGGAGTCAATTTGTATTATAATTGGTCCGGATGGGGTAGCCCAATAATAAGGGTAGAAGGCATAACACTTTATATTGCCATTTTTATAACTACCATTACCATTAGGTGGTACTTCGGATAATTACTAGTTTCTTTGTTCAATTATCACCATTGCCCCATTTACTATGTCAGATTAAAAAGAAAGTGGGTAGTCGTAGAAATAAAAATGGCTACTAATTGTATTGTACAGTAAAAGTAGATAATGGGTTGATGTTTAATAGATACACATGTTTTATGTGGTAGATAATACTTATAATCACAATAATTATTATGAAACAAGGTAATATAAGGTAATAAAACACTAATTAATTTTATCTCGTAAGAATTTGATGGATCACGTCTCCTAAGGTATACCTACGATATTAAATGCCAGTCAGTTTATTTCTATATTCAATCACCAACTTTTATAGTTCCATAAAATCTATACGACACACTTTAAAATGTAATAAAATTAATATTCAGAATCTTTTGTGATATCAAAAAAAAAAATTAACTTTATGTCATTTTTATTGTATAACACTATATTTACTTTTTTTAATCATATTTTTAGGACCTGGGTGTGTTCCCAAATATATGGTAGCCATTTCAATAAATTTTTAATCCCACTGTATCCATACATATAAAAATTATAATGTTTTATTTCCTTATATGAATTTAAGTAATTTAACCTTTTCTTCTTCAAAAGATTTTTTTAATTGGTTTATACCGAATTATCGCCAATCAAAATAAAACACACTGTATAATCTTCCAATCATTAATGGTATATACGGTACACGAAAAATTATTCGCAAATAATGACCATTGACAAATTTTAAATAAAACCTTGTAATAAACAACAAATAATTAATACAATTAGGTTTATTTATTCATATTAGCTATAAAAAAATTAAATTCGCTCTTTAAATTAAAATGTGCCTTATATATTTAATGGCGCCATAAAATCTGCGCAATGATCTTCATTGAGGTATAAAATTAATATTTTCCTTTCCCCTTCGTTACAGTAATTAGGATGATATTTAGGTCCTTTTAATTCTTGATATTTATGTCCTTTTAATTCTTTTGTACAACGAAAATGTTTTTAAGTACTAATAGGAATAGAATCTGAAAATATTTTTTTCAATTTTTAGTAAAATAGTCGAGCTTGCGGATTTATTACTTAATTTAAGTACATAAATGTTATTAAATTAACTTTATAAAGTAAACAATCTTGTCAAAATAATATATTAAAGAACTAATATTTTATAAATTGTCCGCGTGCGACAAAAGGTCTTATGACATGAGTTCTTTATTTTATCTATTTTGCAAAATCTATATAAAAATCTAATTTTATACCTTAAATTTAATTTGGTCGAATTTTACTTTAGATAGTTGGTATCACAGTCATTGGTTTGACAGTTAATGTCAAAATCGATTCGCCATGCCGTCCTTAATTTACTAATTTGCAATAAGCGGCTGTTAATGTTAAAGAAGAAAAAAAGGATTTTCTTTGGTGTTAAACAAAATTTATTGCCAGAAAAGTCTCGTAAGTGCTAGAAAAATCATAAAAATATTATAACCAATATGCAAAATATTATGCTGTTTAAAGTATAAGCCAACCTATAAAATCAAAATTTTGGGTGGGATAAAGTATCTCATTACAGCACCGAAAGCGGTGTTATAATGAAGTCATTATGAACGCAAAATAGATAATAGTATATTATGTATCAAGTTTGATAAACGCCATTTTATACACGAATTTAATTTTTAGCACAAGCGAGCTTGCGAGCGAGTGCTTAAATTAATGAGTGTATAGAAAAGTTTAGAAACGAGGTGCATACTATACTTTTTCTACGACAAATACTTAGGTATAATTATCTTAAAATGATTTAAATCAAAAATTTGTATAGAGCGCCATCTATGAAACAATAGGGGAATCTGTGTGTCACCGTCAAATGCCACATTTTTAAATTTTATAAACACAGATTATAAACGTTATAAATTGAAATGTATTTCTTGAAAATTGACAGTTTTTCACAGTGAAAGTAAAGAAAATGTTTTATAAGGACTTTACAGTGGAGTCCGTGCCCGAATTTAAGTTATAGTTTACTGCCGGCGAAATTAAAAGGTCAGTACAATGTTTATATAAACTTTTCAAATATTGGCGTTGAGAAACTATTTAATAATTTTGTATTTTTGTATTGAGATAATAAAATAATTTTCACATTTAGTATTATTTTACAAGAAAGGCACTGTATTTTAACGATTGGGTGACATTTGACAACTGTCAACTAACTTAAAACTAACTTCAGCCCGTGACTAAAGCGCCATAAAGCCACAACTTGTCAATGTGTATTTAAAAGGTCACTTAGTGTCATGGAAACATGTACGATAATGGTCGTTTTAAAGGTGGAAGTAGAAAAAAGTATTTATTTAACGTTATTTTTACGAAAGAAAATTACTTATAGGTTATAGTTTAATGTTATATTTAACCTGAATATTTTTACTCTAAACTAAATTATACTCAGAAGTATTATTTTTACTATATTAAAAACTCCTAAGGTTTAAAGTGGTATAAAACAACTATTAAATAATAACTTTAAATAAAAAATTAAGTGAAAATAGATTTATGAAAGACGCCATATTTTTTAATTCTAAATTTAGTTAGTTATATAATAATAATAATAGTAATTATAATTAAAACATTTATTGCATTTTAAAATAAAATTTACAAATAGGTTTACAATTAACAATAATTTTGCAATAATCTTACAGTAAATTTTAAAAAACATTTGTGCGTGCATATATGTATGTATATATAACATAGACCAAAATAACAAATAAGTTATCAATGAAAAAATATATATAAATAAATAAATAATTACAATTTACCCTTTAGGTTTAGCACAAACAACACGTAATTGATTAGATTTAATACCAAGGGGTTTTCCAGGAAACTTAGTTATTTAGAATTAAAAGTATTTAATTGGTAATAATTATTTTTTTAAATTTAAAATTTACTTTTAATTATAATTAAAAACGATTTAGCCATAAAATATGAATTTTTATAACCGAGTATTGTTTCGAAATGTTTGAATAAAACAAGTGATATTTCTTCGATAAAATAAAGAGCGATGTGGAATAAATGGTTAATTTGGGAAATCTTTAGATCGAGCATGTAATAAATGGGGGTTAAGTGGGCAATGGTCAAAGATAAGACAATAGAATCGCCTTTCCTACCACTTTTTCGACATCTAAGTGAATGAGGCCTCTCAGGTCAAACGTAACAAATCCCACTCAATATAAATCTAACTGACAATAAAATTCTTTTTTTTTCTCTCATGCCTCTAGGTATTTTAATCAATTTAAAACACAATTAATTTCAATTTAATTTTAATCATGCTAAGATAATAGGAACTTGGCGAAACATTAATGGCACAAATTCAATTTGTAGGATTGGACTACACCCCGTAATATAAAGGGTATAAAGGACCACGGATAAATGTATAAATGCGTAATATGATGGAATTAAACTTCACTGTGATACTGTTATTTGAAATCTTGCTTTCAGTATTAAATGCTTTTGATTCAATTTAGACCAGCTTATATAAACAGTAAGGGTGGATTTGCCATTTATTTTCTCCCAATCCTGCACGTTATTATACATGTTTTACCTCAATTTTATAATTAAACATTATACAATACTCCAATTGGATATCTCGTTCAAAAGAATTGAAAACAATAGTATTTTTTATTAGGTATACATACATATGTATTTCACGAAAACAAAGAATAAACTTATTTAGTGTTTCTCAAATAAATTGATTTTTGCCCATAATAAATTCGAATACATTTTCTTACATTTTACACAATCTGTATTCAAGTTTTACGACATGTTTTCCGAATTATTGCGGTAAAAATTCAATAGAGAATCATTTTAAATTTTATTACACACGACGCTTAAATTTTGGAAGCTGTTTTTATTTTATTCGCAAATCCTAAATTAAATCAAATAGTTTGTAAACGCATTGTACTGGGATCAATTGGGGCTTTAGGCAGTAACGCCATCTAGGTGTGGGAGGACCGAACTGACAATATTGTATTGAAATCCTAGTAGTTTGTAAATGCATTGTATTTGGGCTGTAAGCAGTAACGCCATCTAGGTGTGCGAGGGCGCAAATGACAATATTGTATCGATCCAAATTTTGATATTATCTAGCGGCGGAGAGCTCAACTATGGTTTGTGTAGGAATTATTATTAAAAGTAGAGAGGGAATCCTCGAAAATTTATAAAATTTGGTTGAGTTTTAGGTGCAGATGGCGCCACAGTATAAAATTTTCACTAATTTCTTTTTAGGTTTTTCTTTAAACGATCTCATGTTTTATTGATATATGGTACAGATAAGTGTTTTTTTGAATTTTTAGTTTGTGGGGCAGGTTAAGGGTAGTAAAACATTGTTTAATGAAAAGGTGTTTTATTCATCGATGATATTACATGAATAGGTAATACATTTACATACAAAATATTGTTACGAGTACGTCTAAATTATTTTTATGAAAAATATCTTTTTCTAATTTTTGTATGTGCAACTAATGAAATTGTACTTTGTGTTTGTTCGCTAAAACAAAATAGAATCTAAAAGGTTGTCAATTTGCTTGCTTAGGATTTGTCTTTAACGTTAAAAGATAAATTTAAAAAAACTTCTTTGGTTGAGTCTATTTGGGTCTGAAAGTGGCTGTCGGACGTCAACGGTTTGGCGCGATTGGTTTGCAAAATGTCCTTGAAACTTTTCGTCGGCAAATTCGAGTCGACGACGGTCGAAGTCGCCGAACTTTTCGAGTCGCTCTCCATGCTGGAATTCGAACTTTGGCTCGCGTGCTTCGGGTACGTTCGCGTCTTTCCGCCCTCGGAGTCCGACGACTGCTTCGAACCGTCCTTCGGTACCGTATGGTTTTTGTGCTCGGCCGCTTCCGCGTTCGATATGTTGTCGATTTTCTTCCACTTCGTCCTGCGGTTTTGAAACCAAATTTTCACCTGAAAAAATCAATCAAATAATTAGCATGCTTGGATCAGTACCATTGTTAGGTTTATATTCGCAATGTACCACCGTTTTACATTGTTTAAGATTTTAGATTTAAGTAGGCGGAGCTATGACTGAGCATCGCAAGCGATTTTCAAAGGCCTTGCTACTGAGCTATTGCACTCGACTGTACTTTTCGCCAACGATGTTGGCATCTTCAAAAGTGAAGTGTAACCACCGATTTACATTGTTTAAGATTCTAAAGTAGGCGGAGCTATGACTGAGCTTCGCAAGCGATTTTTGAATGGCCGTGCTACTGAGCTATTGCACTCGACTGTACTTTTCGCCAACGATGTTGGCATCTTCAGAAGTGAAGTGTAAAAATCGTTTTACATTGTTTAAGATTCTAAAGTAGGCGGAGCTAAGACTGAGCTTCGCAAGCGATTTTTGAATGGCCTTGCTACTGAGCTATTGCACTCGACTGTACTTTTCGCCAACGATGTTGGCATCTTCAGAAGTGAAGTGTAACCACTGTTTTACATTGTTTAAGATTCTAAAGTAGGCGGAGCTATGACTGAGCTTCGCAAGCGATTTTTGAATGGCCTTGCTACTGAGCTATTGCACTCGACTGTACTTTTCGCGAACGATGTTGGCATCTTCAGAAGTGAAGTGTAACCACCGTTTTACATTGTTTAAGATTCTAAAGTAGGCGGAGCTATGACTGAGCTTCGAAAGCGATTTTTGAATGGCCTTGCTACTGAGCTATTGCACTCGACTGTACTTTTCGCCAACGATGTTGGCATCTTCAGAAGTGAAGTGTAACCACCGTTTTACATTGTTTAAGATTCTAATCTATAATATTAAAAATATTCCCCAACACCAAAACAAAACACAAAGCGCTTAAAGTACAGTCACGTGCATTGGATCAGTACCACTGTTAGGTTTATATTCGCAATGTACCACCGTTTTACATTGTTTAAAATTTTAGATTTAAGTAGGCGGAGCTATGACTTGCTACTGAGCTATTGCACTCGACTGTACTTTTTGCCAACGATGTTGGCATCTTCAGAAGTGAAGTGTAACCACCGTTTTACATTGTTTAAGATTCTAAACTAGGCGGAGCTATGACTGAGCTTCGCAAGCGATTTTTGAATGGCCTTGCTACTGAGCTATTGCACTCGACTGTACTTTTCGCCAACGATGTTGGCATCTTCAGAAGTGAAGTGTAACCACCGTTTTACATTGTTTAAGATTCTAAAGTAGGCGGAGGTATGACTGAGCTTCGCAAGCGATTTTTGAATGGCCTTGCTACTGAGCTATTGCACTCGACTGTACTTTTCGCCAACGATGTTGGCATCTTCAGAAGTGAAGTGTAACCACCGTTTTACATTGTTTAAGATTCTAAACTAGGCGGAGCTATGACTGAGCTTCGCAAGCGATTTTTGAATGGCCTTGCTACTGAGCTATTGCACTCGACTGTACTTTTCTCCAACGATGTTGGCATCTTCAGAATTGAAGTGTAACCACCGTTTTACATTGTTTAAGATTCTAATCTATAATATTAAAAATATTCCCCAACACCAAAACAAAACACAAAGCGCTTAAAGTACAGTCACGTGCATTGGATCAGTACCACTGTTAGGTTTATATTCGCAATGTACCACCGTTTTACATTGTTTAAAATTTTAGATTTAAGTAGGCGGAGCTATGACTGAGCTTCGCAAGCGATTTTTGAATGGCCGTGCTACTGAGCTATTGCACTCGACTGTACTTTTCGCCAACGATGTTGGCGTCTTCAGAAGTGAAGTGTAAAAACCGTTTTACATTGTTTAAGATTCTAAAGTAGGCGGAGCTAAGACTGAGCTTCGCAAGCGATTTTTGAATGGCCTTGCTACTGAGCTATTGCACTCGACTGTACTTTTTGCCAACGATGTTGGCATCTTCAGAAGTGAAGTTTAACCACCGTTTTTACATTGTTTAAGATTCTAAAGTAGGCGGAGCTATGACTGAGCATCGCAAGCAATTTTTGAATGGCCTTGCTACTGAGCTATTGCACTCGACTGTACTTTTCGCCAACGATGTTGGCATCTTCAAAAGTGAAGTGTAACCACCGTTTTACATTGTTTAAGATTCTAAAGTAGGCGGAGCTATGACTGAGCTTCGCAAGCGATTTTTGAATGGCCTTACATAGCTATTGCACTCGACTGTACTTTTCGCCAACGATGTTGGCATCTTCAGACTGGTGTTGGGGAATATTTCTAATATTTTTTTAAATAATTAGCAGTTTTTTGAAAGATTGTACCGAGCACAAAAATGGGTAGAAGCCCTTTACAAAATCCACTCTATTACGTGCCATATAAAGCGAAAACGATAAAAATAAACATTGTTTTGATTAATTGCACTTTAATTGGTATTATTGAAGTTATTCTGGCATGCAAAACTGAGGATTATGACTTAAATTTAAATAGACTAAAGAGAATTGGAATCAATAGCTAAACATTGTAGAATAATGCATTCGATGCATTATGTGAGATAAACAACAAGGGATTGCTCGTGCCATAGCCTGTTGTGAGCTGTATCAATTGTTTTACCAGTGGCGTACGCATTTAGCATAGGGTGACCGAAACACTTTTAACCTTGATCTTCATCTTCAAGGTAGACATTTTAACAATAATTAACAAAATATAAAAATTTTGTCAACAGAAAACAAAACTTGATCGAATTTAATTTTGTATAACGTTTTTGATGAAAATAAAGGATTTTTGGTGCGCCTCTGTGCAAATAGCGTGGATAGTCATCCCCTTGATAATGCTGATGCTCTATTGATCAATTACAGACCCCTCTGCTACTCTGCTAATTATTATCCCAACTCATTATACACACATTGTGTTTTGTTCCATAATTGTTTTATCACTAACAATTGATTTTCACTTTATTTTCCGAATATATATAGGTATGTATTTCCGACATCATAATAAATGCATTAATTACTTGATTTGCTCAAATTATTTTGTAAGGAAAATGTTCCACTTAATTTCCTTCTATTTTATATTAATTAAAGCATTTATATAACCCAAATACAAATTTATTTTTGCATTAATTAAATCATGTAATTAATTAGTAATGTACTTTAATAAAAAAAAAATAAGCAAATATATTTCCAACATAATTACCATTTTTATTACCAATTATAATATTAATTCATTAATTAATTTTCTTATGGGGTGATAAGTAATTTGTTCTACTCCTACCTTTAAAACGCCCATTATAGTACACGTTTCCATGACACTGTGACAAAGTTGTGGCTCTATGGCCTTTTAATCACGGGCAATAGGTTTTTAGTCACGGTCTAAAGTTCTCAACGCCAATATTTAAAAAGTTTATATAAAAATTTCGCCGGCAGTAAACTTGTTTTGGGTGGAGATGCTAATAAAATATGTTCTTTACTTTCACTGTGAAAAACTGCTTCTATACCGGATTAAACGGTCCATTTTCAAGGGATACATTTCGATTTACATATAAAAATTTGACATTTCCTAAGTTGGTTACTCTATTGATTTATAGATGTCGCTCTATACAAATATTTAATTTAAATCATTTTTAGAAAATAATAGAAAGTATTTGTCGTAGATAATTTTCATTTTACAACACTCAAAAGTCAAATTATTATACACCGCCGTACAATAATAAAAATACATTAAAATTTTATAGGAAGATAGTTCCATCTATCGCGTTTAGCTTGAAATCAGCAAAGAAAATGTAAACTTAGAGGTCACTGCAAAATAAATTTATGTACATAACCTATAATATAAAATGTCAAATGTCAAACGTGACAAAATGTCGCAAACTCGATAATTTCAATGTAAATTTAAACATAGTTCTTGTTTCGCTGCAGTGTTCAAAAATAATATTGCTCTAAAATAAAATTTTATATGAGCTCTTTAAAGCGACAAATTAAATAGTTTGTCGTGTACAAAGTTGTGGATGGTAAATAACTCCGTCATAATTCATGGAAGAAAGTCTGGCAAAGGTTCAAAAGCACTGTAAAATTGGACCACAATCATAAATACTATTAGTTACTGTTGACTATTAAAACGAATAAGAAATATGATGAGTAAATTAGTTGCACCAGTTCTGAAACTAAAACTACTTGAAAATTTAAATTTACAGCCTGGCTTTAATCTTTGCACGAGTGTCGTTTAAACGCGCTTCCTTTTTTAATGACTTCATATTAATTCAGTTTTCAGAATTCAAAATTTCCAGAATTAAGAAGTGTTAACTTGCATAATTCTTTCTAGTTGTAGCAGTTATGTTTATCTGCGAAATTATGATAATTATAATTGCTGAGTTTGGTAGGTAATTTAATAAGTCGGTTAAAACGATATAACCGAGCTAATTAACATTTAATGTTTCACATCAGCCAATTAGCAAATTAAATGAAAATCCACCCTTTGCCAGTTCAATAATTCTTATATAAACATGCCATCCGGATTATTTTCATTATTGACAATATTAATTAATATTTATTTGTTCATTTTCTATGAAAAACTAATTTTCAAATTGTTGTCATACCCAAAAGTATGAACCCTTTTTTCAAATTAAAAGAACAAATATAGAAAAAAATATATATAAAGCCAAATTTCGTATAAATTCATTTAAATTTTTTTTAATCTTAATAGGAAAATTGTACACAGGAACGATCCCGCTGCTGATTTAAGATGTGGTGTCCATGGTAACGTTAAGCCTCTCTTCTACCCCACAGTTTATGTCAAAATTGTATAAACCTGCACACTATTAAATATATATATACAGGGTGATTCATTTAACTTGAAACTTTAAAATATCTCAGTTAATATACATTTTACGAAATAAATGTTTGAAAAAAAAATTAAATGATTCGTGGGGGAAAATCAATCAGTACTAAAATTGGTCCTCATACTCTCCTCCTTATAGGGGGAACAGGGGGTAACTTTGAAATTTCCAACACCCTATTTTTTATTGCAGATTCGGATCA